GTATTTCTACAGAATGGATCATGAACATCACTTACGCATCCAAACGGTTGTATTTGCCAACGCCACTTCTGAATCAGCAGTGCCAAGGAAAGATCGGCAATCCGAAAGGTGCTCTGTGAATGTGAGGTAATGACATCCGTCGGGATGATTCCGGCAACGGACCACGCAGTCGTCAAGCTGGGGAATAAACTCTCTCCAGTTGGTTGGGCTGTAGACCTTACCTACACGTGACTGGTCAGCAACCCAGGTCTTCCCAGGGTAGGAATATCGTTGGGTCTTCTGTCTGTTGTCTATAAAGGATAGTATTTATTATAATGATAAAGCAATTTTTCTTTTATAATTCATCAGCAAATAAAGACGAAATTAAGCAGTTATTTGAAAAGAAAAGACAAAACTTAACACCAAAGATACACAGAAAAAAACCCATAAACCAGATATCCTCCTGACGGGTAAGAAAATACTATTGTACCATATGTGAACCCTTTTATTACGTGTCCTATCTCATTACACGCACCGTCTTTAAATGACCATAGCTGTTGATAGGACGTTAAACAAAATTTAACCAAACCAATCACTACACGCATACGGCATGCAATAAATAAATGGAGTACGTATTTAGATGTTGCAGGACAACGAAAACGTGTCTACCGAAGTTGTGTACACTACGAATTTGATTGTTCTTATTTCCATATGTTTTTATGAATCAGTTTTTAACGCCAACTAACGCTTCATAAAGATTTCACATCGGGGGTTCCGATAGTTTATGTTAATTTCGAATGGTTTGCTTTATCGTTACCAGCCCTCTGTGTCCTCCACGTGCCTGAATTTAAATGTTACATTTTATGCATGATTGACTTTTGTGATGACTGAACAGTGATGAATCCACATCTACATATTTGTAAATATGTTTACATAGAAAGATACCCTGGTTCACCAGTTGTAATTATAATGTGACCGGGCGGAATGCTGTGCTGGATGCCTTCGGCATTGTGTTTCAGTGAGATAGCACTATATAGTGTGCATCAGATCCGCGCTATTACAAGGAGGCAAATACACCAACCTATCCTGTCTCCGGCACACATACACACATGCTCGCTTACACAACACACTCATGAAGGCACGTCATTAAATGACTTTAACTGTTAAAAGGATGCTAATAGGATGTTAACAAAATAAAACAAACCAAAACGTATTTTAATTGGAATTATCGTAATTCATGGGGTTTCATCTAAATCTGGAATCAATCACTTGATCTTATTTATATATTTATATAATGTTATGTCATAGAAGACAACATTTCAACATTATCTCTCTTGTCTTCATACATAGTTTTATCGAATCCCAGTTCAAGCAACGCTGTATGTTAATACTTCGATATTCTCTTTGTAGTAAACCTGTCCGGGGGCACCGACCGATAGGAAACGATGTCACAACGATAAGCCGCTGCAGTTTAATTTTCGCCCTTTCCGCCTTACGTTAAGAGGTGGACTTTATCATTATAGATAACATTTGTAAACAACATAATATACAAAGTAAATGTGAAGGGAGATATGTTAGAAATGTATATGGATGTTTACAGAATAGATTAATTATTAAAGTAAATTTCTGAAACTCATTCTTTTAACTCAGAAAGGGATAAAGGTCACCCTAACCCTTATTTTGTAATGAAAAAATACTCTTTTTTCAACATTTTACAGACTTAACACTTTGTATAAAAAAAAGTTCTAATATACATATTTTTTAATATTTAATAGATCAAAACGAAATGTGCATTTCTTTCTAAAACAGTCAGGATATGGGAAGTCCATGTGCTTCTGTTATTGTCCCATTACTTTTAAAACAGGGTAAAAAATCAAAAGAGATTCAGTTTCACCAAGTAAGTAAAAAGGATACAAATGAAATATAATTTTCCACTTTGTTGCATAACTCTTTTTCATAATATTGAATATATTTATGTTTATATTTATTAAGTTGCTACGATATAAAGTGGCGACATAATTACAACTTAAGTAATTTATTTAGTGTCAAAAAAGGTAAAATGGTGACATTTCGTGAAGCGCAAAATATTCGCATTTTCATAATGGCCGCCAATTCCGTCATTTGTTTTAAATTCTTATAAAAAAGTTCTACAAACAACAGTCATCTATTAGTGACACATTTTTCAGATGCGTGTTTGCTTTCAAAACTGATCATAATGTGTTGAAGTTCCTGAAAACTCGTTTCATGATATCAAAACGAGATTTGAACATGATTTAAACACTAGAAGAGTATATCCTTAAAAACTCATGCTGCATAAAAATCATTGCTTTATGATAAGTTTACTTACTTGACCACAGCTTCGTGCCGGGTACTGCGATGAAAGCTTCCGATTGGGTGACGTTTTCATATCCCCTACACATGCGGCGTGTCTTGTCAAAGGTCACGATGTTACATTTTGGTTCAAGTTCACAAAACGACAGGCAGTCTTCAATGTGGTCGTGGGACTCTTTCAGCAGGTAGGGAATAAACATAAACCCAGAATTCATCTTGTCCTCCCGAAAGTAGTCATCAGCCACGATGGCGAGACCTGATCAAAATTACAATAAAAAAAATGAAATACTTTAATATTATCTATTTGAGGCAGTTACAAATATAATAATAGAAAACACCGTTCCACCTGTTGACTATAAATTGAACGTTGTAATTGCTCGGGTAATTTATCTACAACAAGCACAAGTACTACATTTGCCGTGTGCCGGTTTCTTCGCATTGAAATGTGTGCAATTTATGAAAATCATGTTTGCGTGTCGAAATATATTTTTTGCACTTCAACCCTTGCAGCTTCGAGGAAAAAATGGGTATCCTGTATCCAATTGCATGATCGTATGAGGCAACTTATGTAACAAAAACTTGCAGAATCGGAGTGATTTATTTCTTTTTCAGGCAGCATACAACAAAAACCCAAGAATATACCTGCTATGTTTCAACGACGAATAGACCCCCTGTGCTCTAAATTGACAATGCGCATGATAAGTATTGTTTGGTGGTTATATGTATTTTTATGTTGTTAGATTCTTGATGTTATAGAAAAAAATGATATACACTGTGGAATACGTTTTCTGTTTTTGTTAGATAGAACTACATTGTTTACGGGAAAGTACTCAAACGTTAACTTACATTGCGCGGAAACAATGTTTATTTGAGGCCTCGGACTGGATACTTTTGTTTGTTAGTTCGAAGAAACTCATTCAATTTAACATAATCCACGCTGAATATTATTAACCGTAGACTGTGACAAACCACTATTGCTCAGTTTCATGTTTTATTAATCTGAATTACTAAAGGAAAACGGTCTGAAACGGTGAACAACACATTATTCGCAGTTCAACCTAACGTATGTTCATATGCAGCATGTGGATCGGGCCGTAGAGAGGGGGTTGTCCTCTCGCGACTGCGCATAGGCCATAC